GTAACAATTTAATGGACTAGCGTATGATTTATAAATCATGTTTTGGTTGCATGTTGGGGTCATTTAATTATCAGACTTGTTTTATGTTTACTTTGGATTTTAATTGCTGAGATATTAAAATCTCTATCTGCAATTACATGGATTAAAGCAATTACAGGGATGTTATTTTTGGATTGTAGTTGATGAACTATTTAAAATTTGTTTTTATCAACTATATGGATTATGTGGATTTTATTTGATGTACGGTTTGAGTTGTTGCATCATTTACGGATCATATGCATTATATGTACCAGTATGGGACGGTGGCATATTGGGGACGGATTAGATCAAAACGCTAATTCCTACCTATTCATACATACGGAATGGATTAACTAAAACAGTTAAATCCTACATGGTTGCATGTCCTGTCAACTAAAACAGTTGAACAACATGTATTGGATGTTTGTTTATATTTCTGTATTAGGAAGGAAATGGATTTAATTAAAATATTTAAATCCTAATTTTATGTCATGTCTTGATAACGAACAGTTGAGCGGCACTACATTGATTTGGATGGGAATTCACATATATAATTTATGATACTGCGATATGAGCTTGAACCTCAGGATGGTTGGTTAAGGAGCGTATATGCATTGGGATGTGTAACTGGTTATGATGGTTAAGGTATACCCTGTTAGGTCTAGGTACTCATGCCCACCTATGGGTGCGTTTTTGCATGTTGCCTTCTATTCAGGTTGAGACCCCCATTATAGTCCAGTGAGAGTCCTGTAGTGTGGATATATTTATATTTACGGACTATATAGATATGGTTGAGATATCTAGGATGTATCTACGTATCGGGTCTCTGTTTGGATTGTAGTTATAATAGAACTTGTTCGTGGGCCTCCCACTATTATTTTTCAGGTTTCAGACGGTTCCAGTTTTAAAGCTTATTCATGCTGAGCAGAGACGGTCACTCACTTTTCCGACTGCGTAGGACTGCTATTTATATTTAGTTTTGGAATTTCCTTATTTAGTTTAGTTTAACTTTAGTTGGGTTTTGAATAGGGGTCCACTAGATGGATTCCCGAGTTGTATTCATGGAGGATCAGTTGTATCAGAAGAGTTTATTTATTAATGGAATTTTATTATGAGGTTTTCCGTTTCTGGATTAACATTTTAGTTTCTTTTCAGCAATTTTATTTATTCATATTTATCTTAATTGTGTTCTGTGTTCATTTATTACTGATTGGTTTGATATCTTTGGATAATCAGGCGTGGGCCTGGCGAACCCGCATCCGGAGATTCGGGGGTATCATAGATAATGCGTCAAACATCTTGACTGCATTGTTGATGAGCCCGTCATTGCGTATCTTATGAAACACTTTCATATCTTTTTGTATCATCTGCCTCTTCAATCACTATTTCTTGTTAAATGGGTTATAAGGAGGAGGCAACTTGGTCTTGTCAATCTCTCTCTTCATCATTTTCATTTGGGTTGTTAAGTTTTCGGATTCTGAATCAGAATAAGAGTTGGATAAAGAAAAATTAACTTTGGCGTTGCGCTTTTATGGTAGTGATGGGTTGTTCTTCGAAAGAGGAGGAGGTGAATGGTCTTGTGATTGTGGAGGTTTTGTGGTATGTAGAACCAAGACTCTTTAGTGGGTTTATCAACGGAAACGTGGTGGGTTTTGATAGGTTAAGTGTGGTGGTGAGTGAGAGGAGTAATGGTGGTGTTGAGGAGGAGGCATGGAGGTGTGAATGAAATATGGAAAAGAGAATGGTTAATGAAAGACGCAGAGAACTGCGGCAACGAAACCCATTTTTAGTGAGAGAAAGAGAGTTGGTAATATTGTAATGGCCTTTTTGTTGGGTATATAAGTAATTTTAATAAAAAAAATTAAGGGTAAACATGTTTTTACAATTATGGTAAGGACAAATTTGATAGTGTTGAATGGAAATAGGCTGACATAATAAAAAAGGGCATTGACTATTCATGAAAAGGCTGAAGTGTTATGACAAGCTAACTTCGAGGGAGTTAGGTGTAATTTTTGAAACATTAGAGGTACCGCATGTAATTAGACCTAACCTCGAAGGAGGTAAGCGATATTTTGGTAGCTAGGGATTTTCTCGCAATTTTCATATTCTGCATCTAGGGATGGCAGCGGGGTGGAGTTGGAGTGGGTTTGGCTAAATCTTACTTCGCCCCGTTAGAAAATTTATCATACCAACTCCGCCCTATTCCAGAACGGGTTTGTAATTGTTATACCATCTCCATCCCTACTCCGGTAGACAAAATATTGACTCCACCTCATGTACTCTGTTTAATTGCGAGGTGCGGCGGGGGTGGCCTGGGTTATACCACTTTTATTATGTAGTAAAAAAAAAAACTAGCCCAATGTGCTTAAATTGGGCTGATAAATAAGCTGGCTCAACTTATAAATTACTAAGTAGTGGATATTAATATATTAACAGACACTTTCACTAAAGTAACAAGAGTCTTAAAAATATAAAATATATATTTTATATATAAAAAAATTAAAAGATACATATATAATCAAGGCGGAGTCGGGGCGGGGTCATCACTAAATCCGCCCCCGCCACAAACCCGCTTTGGATTTTTAATTATTTTACCATACTCGTCCCAAACCCATTTAAGGGCCACTAAATCCACCCCATTAGAGGCGGGGGTGGGGTGAAAATCCGCCGGGTCAGAGGAAATTGCCATCCCTATCTCCATCCCATAAAATGGAATTTTCAATAATTTTCTTGATTATTATTATTATTGTTTAATTCTTATTAAATACCATGCATGGATATCTTTCATTTCACTGTTTACTATTTTTATGTTCCAACTTCTGAACCAAATACCTTAATTTTTAGTCCATTTAAGGTTTGATAATTTGATTATGAAGTCTAAATTTATTGCTCATTTTTAAAAGAAATGTATTATTAAATCAATAATATATCAAAATGGACTGTAAAATCATTTCACTTCCTCATTTAATAATGTGCAAATATTTTGATTTTGCCACCTTCATGTTCTAAGTCCAAAAATCACTACCATCTTTCACCATAACCACCTCCACCTTTCACTACTACTACCGTATTCTACCACCGCCACCGACTTTCACCATCACCCACCGCTTTCCACTACTGCCACCGCCTGTCACCACCGACACCGCCTTCCTTTGCCCCAACTATCGCCACTACCACCACCTTTTACCACCGCTATCGCCACTGCCACCACCTTCCACCCCGTCACTACCGCCTTCAACCGCCGCCACCGCCACTGCCACTACCACTACCACCACCACCGCCTTCCACCACCAGCACCACCAGCACCACCACCACCACCGCCTTCCACCACCACCACCGCCACCTTTCACTATCTTCCAACACTGCCTTCCGCCACCGCCTTTCACCATTTTCCACCACTGCCTTTCGCCACACCACCACCACTACAGTCACCTCAATTGGCTTCTACCACCGCCACTTACACCATTATCTCCTTCTACCACTACCAACACTCTAGCCACCGCCTTCTACCACTGCTGCCTTTCACCAACACCGCTACCTTCCACCATTGCCACCGCCGTCGCCTTCCAACACCACCACCTACACCACTACTGCTTTCTTCTCCACCACCATCCACCACCGCCACTTCCACCATTTATTTTTAAAAAATTATAGAAGAATGTCATTCTATTAATTTAATTTATTTTTTACTAATAGGGATATTTTGGATAATTTAATTTTAAATTTATTCCATTCTAAATTAAAAATTGGTCCAACTAAACACTAGAATGGTTATTATCATTCCATTCCCACTTGCATTCCATTCCATATTCTGCACACCAAACACAGCATTAATGCTTGACCAAAATATTTCATTTTTAAAAGAGTATATAAATGGTATAGACATTTAGGTGTATATATATTCATCTTATTGATATTTAATTTTATTCTCTTTTTTGGTAAAGTAATATTTAATTATTTGTTCACGTGAATTTGGAAAAATAAATTACTAACATAATATGTAAATCACTTTTATGTTTTAGAAAATATTATTATTTCTATAAAATATATTACTGTATATATACACACGACACAACATCTCACACATCGATATGCAGAAAGTCATTGATACATACTAGAATATAAGTATAATTTTTGAAGAAAGATAAATTTAATTTATTTATTATTAATGATATTAAATATATATAATTTATATACGTGGGAGAAAGCCCTTAGGGAGAGACAGAGAATAAGAAGAAAAAAATATATACAAACTGAAATTATAGAGAAAGACAAAAGAAATATAAATAGAGTATTTATAAAAAGAGAAATAATGAAATTGGGGTATTACATATAGAAATGAGAGAGAAATGAATGATGGGCAGTTCGGAAAGTTCAAAAGAGTAATATAGGTATTAAAGAGTCTTTTTGGCCAAATGACCCGCACAAGTCACTTTTTGGCGTCAAAAGTCTTTATTTGTTCATTTTCTATATTGCAAGAATAAAATTTGAACATAAAAAGTATTATTTGCGCACTTTTCAAAATATAATATGATTTCAATAGAATTATTTTGAGTTTGGAAGAATAAGATATGGGTTGAGCGCGATACACCATGCTACATTGCCATAACCCGTACCAAGTGTCCTCAATTCGAAACACAAGTTTGTCCTCTGCACTTCTTATATTTCTTACAAGTTGTTGATCGGGCCGGGTTTCAAATGTTTCGGATCAGGCCCGCCCCAATAACTTTTCGAGTTCGGAACGAACCGAGATAGGCCCAATTGGTTTAAGCTGGACCTGATGGCTTTCGGACATTGGGTCCATTTCATCACACCCACACAAAGCAAAGCTGAATAGTGTGAATGCTGAACCAGCAGCGCAAGATAGAAACCAGCAGCAATAAAGCTAGTCGTTTGATATTAAGATGCGCCAAAGTTTATGCCGTAGCAGCCAAAAAAACAAGTGGAGACGAGCATTGCATGAAGTGTAATCTCAGGTTTTTAGTCACTTTCTCTCTCTAAATCTCCTCATTTCTCTCTCTAAACCTCCTTCTCAAATCGCAGATCTTTTTCTATAATAGTCTAGAATACACATCTCTATCTGGCTTCTCTACACACACCCTCTCTCTAAAAAGCTTTCAAAGTTTTGTTTGTATATGCAATTGTAATTTCAGGATATGATTTTTTCAGATCTTTAGAGGCATTGCAGATCTAGGGTTCGATTGGAGTTCTAGGGTTTAGGGTTTCGAGTTCTGTAAGCGAAAATGGCTACGCCGTTTCACTTGCCGGTTACCGCTGCGCAGGTTTTCTCTCTCTCTCAACACTCATATGTGTACACGAAGTTTCTCTCGACGTTCTCTCTCTAAAGTCTCATTGCGTGGTTTCAGGTGGGGACGTACTTCGTTGGGCAGTATTACCAGTTTCTTCAACTCCAACCTGATTTCGTTCACCAGTTTTACAGCGATGCCAGCACCATACTTCGAATTGATGGGAACACTAGAGAGACCGCTTCGGCAATGCTGGTAATGAGTTCTGATTCTCTCTCTCCATATGTAGTAGTATGTACACAGAGGCATATAAGGTTGCAGATATGTTTTTTATGTGCAAGTATTGATAGAAAATATTCGACAATTGAATGATGGAGACTTCCATTTTTGTATGTACTTGCAACACTACTACAATGTAAAGCAGGGTTTGAGTCGACTGTTGTATGGAGCATTTCAGGAGAATAATGTTTATTCTTCCTCATTTTGTTCCCGTTTATTTAAATGTTTTATGTTTGTGAATTGTGATAGTCATGTATTATGGAGGCTGGAGAAGATGCTTTGTAGAGTAGACTAAATGTCCATCTGGACAGTTTGGTTCATTTGCAGTCCTTGTAGTATTGCCCAGGAGCATCACTCTTAACAATTTTGAGTGTTGTTGATTGGACAATTATACTTTTAAATAGTGTTGACAATGAATTTGTTACAAAAACTAAGATATCCATGAAATGGCACTATGTTTATCGGAGGCTTGTTTAATTTATAAAGATATGTATGATTATTGCTTAATCAAGAACTTTTTGGCAAGGGCAAATGGCAAAATTAACAAATTCCTAAACCCAATTTCTTTTCAAACCTAGTGCGAGTGTGTTTGTGAGACAGAGAGAGTTCCAATTTCTTTGGAAGTTTGGTCATTATAATCAACTTATCACTGCCTACGAACACATTTATGGTGAAGACATATTTCTCATCACCTTTCTGAAACCTCTGCAACATGACTTTTTTTTTTTTTTCCCTCTTACAAGTACAAACTGTACAATATATATCTCCAATAGTTCGAAAAATAAAATAACTTATATTGGAAAATAATGATTTGAGAGATACCTTGGGAGAAGGAAAGAAAGAGCCAGAAGAAGAAGAGAAAAGCCTAACCATAGAATATAGAAGACTAACAAATTTAAAAGAAAAGAAAAGGAAAAAGAATTGGTAATTTAGATGCTGTGTGGTGCTTTTTCAACCCTTTTTTTCTTTTCTTTTCTTTTATTTTCCTTCCTCCTCCTTTCTTTCCCACTTCAGCAATTTTACTCTTGAAGAAGTTCAGAACAGTGACCTGAGTTTCTATGTCTAGGAACTATAGGCTTCTTAAGCCCTTTTTATTATTTATTTATTTGTTTTGTTAAACTAGCAGGTTTTTTAAATTATATATTAGAAATATATTTGCAAAGCTGATCCATATCTGTGGGATATCCCATGTGTATCCCTTGGCCTATCCTGGATGCAATTCGATCTTCTTTTGTTCATTTATTTTTTAAAATTGGATATTTCTGGACTGTATTACACACGCGTCCAGTTGTGTCCTTGTAGGACATCTGTATGATACATCCATATTTACTTGTTGCTCAAGGCATTTTCACTCGTCATTTATTTATTTATTATCCTGGCAAGAAAGTCAGACACCCACATGCCCTATGGGGATTTGAGTCACTTGAATGACCTTTCCCTTTGTAAAACGAGGAAGTATGATTGTTCTGGTCTAGGGGGAGGTTTAATGATGAGTTGAATACACCTAAGATGAACTTATGCATTGTTGAATGTGGGCTTGACTGTGCAATTAAGTTTCAAGTAAATATGCAGGAGGAACATATAAAAAAAATCAAAATCTATGCAGGAGTAACTTACCAAAAAAAAAAAAAAGGTATCTATGCAGGAGGAGCACGAAGTAGAACAGAAATGCCAACTTTCTACTTCTGAAATGATGTTATATGCAACTTTAAAAAGGGTGTGATCGCAAGAAAACTGGATTGATGATGTTTATGTTCTACTAGCGGCTGTTGGAGAACCAAATTTTGTATATAGTTTGTGAAATACATAGTTTAGAGAAGGTGCTAACTGAAATTCCAATGAAACTATGATTAAATATGGTATGCATATGTTGGATTAAATGCATATCTATATTTATACTATTATTTTATAAGGCGTGAATACCATCTTGTTCCCTCTTTATTGAAGTTGCATTCCACTTCATTTTCTTTTGAAAAAAACCAGCTATTCTATGTAAATGCATCCTATATTTATCATTCCATTTGAGAGTGTAATGGGCATGGTTATGTAGTAAATCAAATTTAAGTTACCTACGTTACATGAAACTCAGAGAAGCTGTTAAAACTAACTTGACAAGGAAGGGAAGAGAGAGATAATAAATATTAATGAAAGTAACGGATGGTGTTATTGCCAGAGAATCTTTTGCTTCTCAATCATGTTTAAAGTATTTTATGTTTACAAATACCCTTTCAAGTCAAGTACATTCATTTAGCATCTCAACTCCTTTTCTGGCTCCCGAATCTATCGCATATTTTTCAATTCTTCGTGGTCATCATCAATATTTTCCGTGGTATCACTTTGCTGCTACTGACAAGAACATTGACTCTCTCTCTACCTCTCAATATTTCTCTTTTACTGATCACTGGTGTTGTAATTGCACCACCAAGAAGGAAAAATCACCAACTTTCACCTCCTATTGCCAGTGAAATTACAATTCCTCCACCTGTATTATCATTTCTACTCCCAATGTTGCATAATTACCCATTTTCACATTAATTCATTGCATCTATTTTTATCTTCTGTGAAGTCAAAATTCAGAATGAAAATAGATATTACTGGTTAAGGAGAGATGAAAGAATATAGTTGATGGGCATGGCATCAGCTGTAATTTCATATATCATCTTCTTTTGAGTAAATCCATCTTGTTATTTTTAAGATGAACTCGGAATGAAAATTTTAATTGAGTAATGACTGCATTTCTAGAATTATGAAAATCTTGTTTGAATTTTAAGTAACTAAATATAAAGCTAATTAGGGATTTCACATATTTTATTGGGCCGTCCACACTAGAATAGACATTACTCTAGATTAGACATTCTAGAGGATACAAGGTGGTTCATAATTGAACACCACAAGACAAATTAAATACAGTCTTGTAAAAGAAACAAGTGAGCACAAGGTAATTTCTAGTCTTATGACAGAGATTGAAACCGGGTGGTGATGGTGATATCTTCCTTTTTGAAGATGGTAAATGATTATGATGATGATCAAAAACAAAAGGAGAGAGGTCAATATTGGAGGAGTCGTCTGATGGCAGAGAGAAATGTGTAGAGAGATTGACAGATTTTGGGATATAACTTGAAAAGGCATATTGTCGATCTAAGGTGGTAATTTCGGCAGATCTCGTGGAAGATTAAAACTTCTTTCTTACAATGTTGCCAGCCATTAAGATTTCTATCTTCATCTTACATGTTTATCTCTTCTCTCTCTTTATGAGTTATGATTATGTGGATTGTGCACGAAACATTTTCTGGTTAGTATTATAAATACTTGTGTCTTTCCCGAGTCTTTGCCATCTTCCCCTTTGAACGTGTGCCATGTTATTGCACCCTAGTTACGGCGAATCTGCATCCCTTTGTTCATGCATTCACAAATTTAGTATAATTATGTATGTTAATGCGGCTGCTGAATTCTCTAGATAATCTGTTAATTGGTGTTAGTTAGTGAAGACTCATCAGTGGATTTATCATTTCATAGTAAAAAAAATCATTTTGTATGTTTTTATTTGAAATTTGGGTCCTTAAATACTTATAAGTAGCCATATTTGAAACATTGTGAGCCTGGAGGTTTATCTTTTGTGGGTATTATATAATTATTTTACAAGCTGAATATCTCGCTTACTGATTTTGTTTTTTGAAGCTGATACCCTAGACTTTTTTCATTAGCAATTAAAGGACAGCTATCAAAAGTTCTTCGTTGTACAATTAATTGCCCAGAAAAGGAAAAAGGTCTTTGCTTGTATGCTCTTTTTTAGAAGGCAACTAATTAGAAGCTTTAAGCATGTCACATGTTTCTTTTGTTGATTTTTCTCAATAAATTAGAAAATTTTACTTTTAAGCTCTTTTTAGAAAGGTTTTGATGGTATTCCTATTTATTTTTACAAATAGCCATAAATTCTACCCCTCCCTTTGTATCTGGGAATATTCATCTTTTCGGTTCCAATAAATTGTAACGGTACTAGGTAGGTTTCAACCCTTCTGTTTTATTTTTCTATTTTTATTTTCCTTTCTTGACATGTAAAACTAAGGCTGCGTTTAGTAACGAGAAACATTTCTTGTTTTCTGTTGTCAACCTCTAAAAAGGCAAAACAAAAACAAAAGTTGCGTTCAATAAAATGTTTTTGTTTTTCTATAACAAAAAACGTTTTCAATTTTTGTGAGGAAAAGAGAAAACATCAAAATGATGTTTCTTATGTTTTCGGCACTGTAGCATAGAAACGTTTTCACTAATGTTAGTGCACATGCACTATTCATTTCAAATAAAATTCATATTATTTGTGTTATATACTAAGTTGCATACGAAATGTTAATAAAAATATATATTTTTAATATAGAATAAATTAAATATTGTGTATTATTTTTTATTTGATAAAAATATATTTTAATATATAATATATTAAATAATAATGTAAATGATTTTTTGTGACAAAATAATTTTTGATATAGAATATAATGTTATTAAATTATTAAGTAGTTATATTTTGTATTATTATATATCATATCTATATTATATTATATGTAAATATTAAATTATAATTAATTTACAATATTATAACACAATAAATATTTTATTACATATAAGATATATTATTTAATATTTTTTATTCATAATAAATTATCATATGCTAAATATATTATATATCACATAATAAATGTATACATCATGCATATACATGTATTTATATACATAATTGATGGGAATGTTTTTGTCTTGGTATATCTAATTTTGTACTTATGACGTATTGGGTATTTTTAAGATTTATAATTTTAAATTAAATTTTCTAGATTTATGGCTTTTTGATATTAATGGAAGCAAGTGTCGTGCTTGAGTGGTTGGGTTGCTCCTTGTGTCCGAGAGTTCGTGTTCAAGTCATTTACCCTCCCCTCTAATCACTAACTCCTAAAATTCTTGCCATGAAAAAAATAAAATAGAAATGAAAAAAATAATAAATAAAATAAAAAATTTAAAGAATATTATATACATATTGTAACAAATATGTTGTATTACTAAACACAATTATTGTTTTATGTTTTCAAATTTGTGGCAACAAGTGTTAATAAACATCATTTCTGCTTTCTATTTTCACTCTAGAAAACAAAATCATGTTTCTGCTTTCTTAAGACTGCAAAAACAGAAAACAAAAACGTTACTAAACGCACCCTAAATGACTGCCTAGATTTTGAAGTTCATCAGCTTGTTTCTCTTCTTTATCTATTAAATAAAAAAATTGCTCATATGTTTAGAACTTTTAACTAGCAACCTTAGTCTAGCCTTTTGCTACCTCCTTTTAGTTTTCTCTGCACTTATCCCTAAAGCATAGCCATCATGGGTTTTGTCCTCCATGCCTTCGATATTTATTATCATTTCTGATGAAGTTTTTTGGGCCAGATCACTATTCATTCAATGAAAACAATTGTTTATAAGCTACCCTTTTTCTGTAAGTTGTTCAACACCCCAGATACCTGTACCTGAAGGATGTGTGCAAATGTGGGATTTGCCTGGCATTGACAGTTTGAGACAAAATTTTGTCAAACAGCTTTATTTGTTCATTGAATAAATCACTTGGATGTGCTGACATAATAATTACTATTAGGAGTGAAAAAAGGAAGACTGAAACATTGTTAATATTGCTTCTCTACTATATGGGTTGAATGGTCATTCAATACTTCACATAAGGATTATCATCAAATTATCCTTTATTCTGTTAAATGTCCCTTAATCTTTTTCACTTTGAAATGTGGAACATACTTTCAAATTATCCAACCCTAGTGTACTTTTTATTTCTAGTACTACTTTCTGCTTGTTTATTGTCATTATTTGTGGTATACCATCTGTGTAATTGCAAGTCAAACATTTTGACCCTTTTTTTCTCTTCTTTCATGGCAGCAAATCCATTCACTTGTTATGTCTCTCAATTATACTGGGATAGAAATCAAGACAGCACATTCCCTGGAATCTTGGAATGGAGGTGTTCTGGTGATGGTTTCGGGTTCTGTGCATCTAAAGGATTTGAATAACAGGAGAAACTTTATGCAGACTTTTTTCCTTGCCCCCCAAGAGAAAGGCTACTTTGTTCTCAATGATATCTTTCACTTTGTTGATGAGGAACCCATTCACCAGCATCCGGCAGCCTATTTATCGCAGACCAATCTTGATTCCAAATTAAACACTTCAACTGTTATTCGAGAGCAAGGTATTACTCTTAAACCTGAATGTGGAAGTAAAGTCTTTTTCATTGAACATAAAATAATGATCTGTAATTCCACAAAAGGGAGAAAAGCTTTTATTTTTATCTTCACAAAATATGTATGACTATACTTTTCCATTCCAAGATCTTTAAACAATCATAAAATGGATTTTATTCAAATGGACTTGTAGAATAACTGATGACTCTAATATGGATGTCAATTACACAGTGTTATAATCTGATAGCAACATGTGTTTATGTTAAAAAAGCCCTTGCTTTGTATTTGCTGCAAATAATTTGTTTCTGCAAAAAACAGGCTGTTAGTTCTAATTTGCATATATATATATACTGTGATTTTTTTCCTGAAAAAAAAAGGTAAAATAGTGGTTGCTTTGCAGTATCCAACTACATGACGGGCAGAGAAGTCCAGGCTAGGGAGTTTGCGGCTGCTGCTAATATTCAAGGAAACGGTCCAGTTGACAACTACAGTTTCCCGGAGCAAGGGCTGCAGCAAGTCCCTGAGGCTGAAAACATTCTAGAAGACAATTCTGCAGTACATTCAAATGGTTCACCTCAAAGTTCAATGAACCTTATACAAGACAACCTTTCTACTCCTTTTGAAGAACCTGCTGGGGAGCCCCAAAAGCACACTTATGCTTCTGTTGTATGCACTATATCTTGTAGTTCTACCAATTTTCACATTATGCATAAATAATTATTTATTTATTTTATTTAAAATATAGTGATTTACGGTTTTTATCTTTTTGTTTTTTCGAGACTCACTATTTTCTTAATTGATTGTCATTGAAAGTTGCGGGTAGCTAAAGGACAAACTCCATCATCAGTACCTCCTCAGATTTCTGTTACTAAGACAACACCACCTGCTTCAGAGTGGCATCATGTTCCAGAGCCAACTACTCAGCAATCCTTTGCATCAACTGCTTTTGAAAGGTCTGGGGCTGAGGCTGCCGATGAATTTTCTGCTGTAGAAGATGAAGGTTGGTTGACTTTCCCTAGACCTTTGATACGTTACCAGCATCTTACTCGATGTTGTTAATAAAAATGTTCTGTTTAGAAAATCAATTACAACCTTAAATTTGATTGATAAAAAATTCATTAAGATAAATTTCTGATTCCTTAAGAGTTCCATTTTTTCGTTTTCCTCTAAAGTTACATATGCATTTAGATTTTTATGTATGTTATTAGTGCATGATTGTGGATGGTCCTTGATTTTCAATATATTTAAATGATCTCAGGTGAAATAAAGTCAGTTTACGTGAGAAACTTACCATCGACTGTGTCTGCTTCTGAAATGGAGGAGGAATTTAAGAAATTTGGTAGACTAAGTCTGAATGGCGTGGCTATTAGAAACCGGAAGGTTCATTCTTGTGGCTTCCCTTTTGAATTTATTCCTGTATATCTTCCATAAAGGAACCTAAACTAATGGAGGATATGTGCAAATTTATATGCAGGACATTGGCGTTTGCTATGCATTTGTTGAATTTGACGATACCACTGGTGTTCAAAATGCAATAAAGGTCTGAATATATATGCGTGCATGTGTATGTATGCATGAACCACAGAACTTTCTTTAGCTCTAGATTGTCTCAGTAAAATATTAAATTATCTGAAAAATTAAAATTTTGTTGTAAGATCATATATTTCCTACTTTTTACTAGTCATTCCATATCTTCAATCTACTTTTTTCTTATTTTTCTTAATTTTGTTAACAGGGATAAAAACAAATCTTTGCCTTGTGTCTTGTTATGGATGGATGATCATTTTTCTATTTCTTTCGCATAAGTTCTGTATCAACACATGTTCAATCTTATAGTACCCTTTATGAGCTTCAGTTATGTTTGATCTTGAAAAATCTCACATCTAAATTTTTGGGTTCATGCTACTTTTTCCATGCTGGAATATAACTTTTCTTTTCCTTATACTGACTTTTCAAGTTCAATATTTTATTTCCGTGTCGTAATAGAAATTAATGTTTTGGACCAAGCTCTGTAGCTTACCACGATCTCTTTATCTACGCATATTTAGCCTTGATTTTGTATGAGTTAGCTTTTGTGTTTTTTTGAATTCTTTGTAGGCATCAACGGTTCAGATTGCTGGACATCAAGTATACATAGAAGAGCGGAGAGCGAACAGAAGCAACTCATCTCGAGGAGGAAGTATGTATTTCTATTTTCTTATAATTGTTATTATTCATCAATAATATGTAGAATGACTCATTCTCAGACATGTGACAAACTAGTGCGTCAACATTTCGTCATCATAAGTTGCTGTTATCCTATATATTCCATTGGACTCGCATGTTAATTCTGGGTGATATGAAGATTGCTAGGGATTGTTGGTTCTACCCGGTTTTTGTTTTGCTTTGATTCCTTTTTTGGTGAAAACTTGCTAACTTCTGCAGGAACAAGATTTTGTATGACTAGTTTCAAAACTTTGCTGGAATTAGATGACGTAGAATTTGATTTTTTTTTTTTTTTTTTCTTTTGGTTGGACACGATTAGGACATGGCATTGACACAGTTGAAACATGAAACTGACACATTTGGGATACTTTTAGGACATGGCGTAGTAGTTTTACAATTTTTTTTAAAGGATTTCTAATGCATTTTTAAAACAGATTATGGGTTAATTAGAAAAAAAAAAATTTAAAAGTTTTAAAAATCGAAAACACCCATTCTGAGCTCCGAATTAGTGATTACATTCATGATAATGTTAATAAAAATGAGTAAAAATCAATTATTTTATTTTATTTTTTTGGATGTATAATATATTATGTTATTATATTTTTGGCATATCGTTGTCGTTGGTGTCCTTTTTTTTTAGATTTGTTGTATTGCTGTGACCATATCTTGTATACCCATGTCCGTATCCATGCTTCCTAATATGTATGTACGGATTCTCTCATGGTTAAGTGGTATCACTTGTTACCCTCTACAGGTTGCTAAACCATTTGTTAGATATTGGTTGGTTTTTTTTTTTTTTTCTCTCTCTCCAAGTTTATAGCCAGTTCTATATTCTTAATTATGAGTGGTATTTCCTGTTACCCTCTACAACAGCAGCCTCATTTGGGAGTGGTCTTATTTTAGTTTCAAAGGGATCATTCCATAAGATACATTTATCCTTAATTTAATCCTGCCACATTCAATCTTGTAACTGGATACCTGAATTTTTAATATAGTCGAAGTGAAGTTTTATCATATACCTTTCTATTAGAGAAAGGACAATAACTTCATTAGAGAAAGATAAAGCTAATGAGGGAAGGATGAGGTATCCTTCGAAAAATAAATAAATAATAATAATAATAACAATAACAACAACAATAACAACAACAACAACAACAACAATGATAATAACAATAACAACAACAACAACAATAATAATAACAGTAACAACAATAATATAATAATAATAATAAGAAGAAGAACAGCAGCAGCAACAACAACAACTACATCAACACATAATAGGGTTAAAGAAACTGCTCCTGACATAACAACTTATGGGGAATAGTATTAGTCTCAAATTTAAGATGACGACTCTGTCTCGGCCTACGTCTGATCATGTTCCTCTGGTTTTGGACTGTTGTGGGATGAAGAAAAGGAGCTCTCCTTTCAGATTCGAGAAAATGTGGCTTAGAGCAGAGGGATTTATGGAGATGGTTCGGTCTTGGTGGTGAGGTTATGTTATGAACGGCTCTCCAAGTTTTTCCCTTGTGTATAAGTTGAAGTTCCTTAAGGAAGATATCGAGAAATGGAATAGGGATGTTTTTGGTAATTTGGAATGGAGGAAGATTAGAGCTCTTTCTGAAATTGCCGACATTGATAGGAAGGACTGAAGGAGGGATTGGGTGTCATTGAGGAGGTTTTGAGGTGCAGAAGGGTCAAGTGCCAAGCGGAGATAGTTGAGATTGCTAGCAAAAGTCTTGGGCTTTGTGGCTTAAGGAAGGGGATAGAAACACGAAATTCTTCATTCGGCTCGCAAATGCCCATAGAAGGGGCATCATATTGGAAGGATTGTAGTGTAGGGAGAGCTTTTGCCCAAGGAAGAGGAGATTTGTAGTGGGGTTGCCTCTTTTTATCAGAAGTTGTTCACAGAATGATGTAGGACAAAGGACAGGCTCAAATAGAAGAAAGTAAATAAGAGTTATGAGTTCGGGTCATAACTTAATTGATGCAATTACCAACATAATGAAATTTGACCAAACCCCCTAATTATGCAAGACTCCAAGTGGAGCCCCCATCGTCTAGCATGTGCCAAATTAAGGTTTGAGCCTTAGAACCCTCCTTGCCACGCCTTTTATATACTTTAAAAGGCTGCTGCCACTGTTCTCTACCACAGAAACTTCGAGTTGGCACCCTTCCCTCGGAGGGCTTCAGTTTGATTCGATCTCTGGAATGGATAGTGAGGGGTTGGAAAGGCCTTTTTCAGAAGAAATTTTGAAGGCGCTGAATGATAATGCTACTGTAACCTGTAAACAAAAAAAAATGCTAAAACCCTAAGGCCTAAAACCCGTGTCCATATCCATACACTAGGTGATCATTATATGTTAAAACCCTACACTAGGTGATCATTATATGTTAAAACCCTATTAATGTTCTGTCATGCAGTGTTGTCAAAGCTGTGCTTGTGCATGTTCCTAGGCTCCAGGGTCATATTGGTTCAACACTAGCGACTGTTGTGTGCCCAGGCACGCCTTTGACAAAACTTGCACCTTTAATATGGAAAATGAATGCTTTAATAGTAATTTAATTTTTCAATTATGCGCCTCACTTCACTCAGGTGCGCTTCGCCTTGTTCCTAGGGCCTTATGCCTTTGATAAACACTGGTCATCAGTTCATATGTGATATGAATGAGAAAAATGCATAAAATCCCCTAATAATAAAAGCAACTATAGTGTGTAGTGTAGAGTACTGCTAGAGTGACCGTGAGCATTCCTGTACATAGTTGCTCTTGTATTCCCTGTGATGGAGAGAACTCATCACTGGCCCGAGTTTTGCGTTTACTACAAAAGTTGGCATGTCTATTTGCTTCAACTTCTCCTCTGAAATATAAGTACTTCCTGTGGGAGGTTTACAATGAGTCAAATACTGATTACCCCTTTTAGATAGAACCTCCTTCAATCACATCCCTAGGTTTCTTTAGTAAATTGTCAATTCAAGTCCCAACTGTTGGCTGCTCAATTTGGCCATCCAACCAATGAAAATCAAATTAATCCGTCACATGAAGATAGGATAAATCTGATGGTTGCCGAATTGCTTGACCAGATAAGCATTCTAGCCTACCTTTTCTAGAAGCTTGCACTGAGCTACCTTCCTGGACTTCAGCTTATGATATTCTCCCTCAGGTTTTTGAGTTATACCAAAACTTTGTCACCTCCATAATTTTTTTTCCCATGTGCTATGGCATGGGTCCATTTTAAAAAATTAGTTGGGTGTTTTCCCATTTGTAACCCAAACCATTTATTATTTGACTACTGTGTCTAAAACCAATTATTATTTGACAACCGAGACTAGTTTTTGATAAAGGATGGATTTACAAAAATTTCCTCTTTAAAATTTTTCCACAGTGTTTCCTTTTTATCTTTATTTTTTATTTTTTTATGGTTCTTACCTTTCTACCTTTACATCTTTAGATCACTTCAAAAGCACACACAAACGCTACTTTTTCTTTTTAACACCACGAGTTCTACACCAAGTATCTTGATTTGTACCATCAAAGAGTGAGTGAGGAAAAGAAGAAATGTTGGTAGGGTGGTTTGAAGAAGTGGAAATTTAATTGAATTCAAGACTACTGAAATTCCTACTTGCTGCTGTTTTTAGTGCTTTATCAGCCCTTTCAAAATCTCACTTTCTTTGTATATGTAATAATAATTTCTATTTAGGGGTTTAATTATTTCACAAATTTTCTTGAATGGGTGTAACATTTTGGTTTTGATCCATTCCTTTTGCTGACCTGGTAATCAGATAAAAGGAAAATTAAAGGTCCATGTCATGAAGCATGCAGAGCAACTCTGTTTGATAGCTTTGATCGGAATTAAATGAACCTAGTCATTACAATTTCTTGTGCTGCTGACTTGAGTTTAGAATTATAGTTTAATTTTTTCAATTTTGTAGAGATCAACGATAGAAGACAAGAAAAGGTGGCAGTTGGATTATCTATAGAGAGAGTTAAAAAGGGTGAAGGATGGAGGTGGTGGTGATGTTTGCTAGAGAGACAAAAGGGTTGGTTGTGGGTGGTTTTGCAAGGATGTGGCCAGTTTGGTTAGATAGACAAAGTGATGTAGAACTAAAGAGAGAACTAGAGCGAAATAATGGGTAAAAAGTCTAAAAGGCGTTTTAGTTAACAGAATTTAGTCCACCATCAGTTGACATACACCTTAGTCTAAAAATGAGAAAGGGGGCCGCAAAATTTTGGGATCGTTTGAAAAAAAAAAAAAAAACGAAGAAAAAACTCGCAAGAGTTAACGTAGCATGAATGATAATGCTACTGTAACCTGTAAACAACACTGTTACTGTGTATCCAGTGTTCCCTACCTAGCATCAGCAAGTAACTATGATTTGAAACTGTACAAGTTGCATACTTTGTAGGGCAAAACCGTAAAGGGAGAGACTTTGTAACCTTCTTTCTTCTGGAATATGGCAGGCGTGGAGACTGAAGTCATCTTCCTTGTACTTTCCTTTCTCCCTCCTATGAAAATTGTATCCATTTTTACCTTTTCCTTCCTTTCTGCTCTTTACTTTATAATGTGCCAATGTGGACTACTTTTGAAAAAAACTGGAGGTTTGGTTTGTACATGGTATAAGCCCACCCAACATGCAGGTTTGGATACTTAATAAAAAAAAAAAAAGAAAAAAAGAAAAAAATAAATGCAGGTTTGGATGTTTCCTTCTTGCAGTATTGTTAATGATTAGATTGTTCTGAACAGGAAGGGGTAGAGGCAGGGGTGGCTACCACACTGAAGCCCCAAGAGGACGTTTTGGTGGTCGGAGTTTTGGCAGGGGAAGTAACCAGGATGGAGGTGACAGGGACTACAGCAGACCGAGGGGAAATGGTTTCTATAGGCAAACTGTCCGTCAAGACAGAGGGGTTTCTGGCTACCAAGTCTCGAGAAATGGACAGCAAGCTTCCGATTGAAGGACCGTGTTTGCAAGCAGAGGAGGACAATTTTGATTGAAAATCTTTTGTTTCAGCAGATTCAGCTCTAAAGGGCTCACCAGCTTTTATTTTCAAATTAGATGATCTGAGGAAGATTGCAGCACAAAATCTTTTTCGGGGAGAATTTCTCGGTACTTAAAATTTCTTCCCTAGATAGACTTCCTAACTTAAGAGGGAATAATTTATGCAATTTTGAGGTATTCTGCTTTTGTTGAATTTAACATGTTGCAGTTTTGTCTATTAAACCTTCTCGTCGAGTTGAAAATGCTTGAAGCTATTTTGGGTGATAGCACATACGATCTTTCTTGTCGAGTCGACTTATTTTTACCCTATTTGAAACTCACACTGGCGTTTCATTATCACAAGGTGATTAGTTCAAAAGACTACACAAGCCTAACAACTGTGCCCTTGTCTGTGAATGGGCCTTAAATTCTTAATGCGAGCGACAGAGACAAACAGGTAATTTCATACTGTTTTCTGTTTCTACTTTCTAGAACAACCTGTGGCACTTTGAAAATGTTGGATGCTTGTAAATTCAGACATATGGAGTGTAACTATATTTTCTGATATTATATACGAGCATTGTTTCTAGAATTCAATTTGGTGAGTTGTAAAATTTGTGGTTTTGAGAGATGAAATTCTAAAATTAGAAATGTTACATCAGTGACAACAATTCAATTTGGAGCCTAGATCTTGGCAAATGGGTTTAAGGGTATTATAGTCAATAACCCACTAACCTTAAGATGGTTGGTATTCCGAGGTTTGGGGAATGACACTTACTAATGGTGAACTTGTCCAAAAAAAACTGTGTTGTTGTGTCTTTGATAGGTCAAAACTTCTTAAATTAGACTTGGACTGTGTTTGAATAGCTGAAAAATATTTCACATTATTCTAAAAAAAGCTGAGGTCAATAAATTGTAATTCCTCTCTGCCCCCAGTATCTTCGCTCATGTTGATTTTGTATTGAGAGGTCTTATTATTCATTTCTCTTGGTATCTCCTCTTGTTGATGTCATGTTCCCTCGTCGTCCCATTTTCCAGACGGCGAGCGGAGTCTCCATTCACCACCATAACCATCACTAAAATTATAAAAAACATCAGCGCAATACGAAGACCACCACTGCCACCTCCTGTGCCTCCACCACTGCCACCTCCTGTGCCTCCATCGTCGAAATGTCGGTGAAGGCACCATTTCAACTCCTGGAAATAAACATCATATCGGCCCAGGACCTCCACCCGGTGTCCAAGAACATGCGAACCTACGCGACTGCATGGGTCCATCCAAACCGGAAGCTCACTACCCGGGTTGACAAGGAAGGCAGTAACAATCCCACCTGGAATGACAAGTTCGTGTTCCGGGTGGACGACGAGTTCCTCCGTGGTGACACCTCCGCGGTGATGATCGAGATCTACTCCGTTCATTGGTTCAAGGATTCCCATGTGGGCACTGTCCGTTGTCTCGTGGGTAACCTTATCCCGCCTCCGCCCCGACCCAACGCCCGCCACCACCACAACAGCCATGTTGGGATGCGATTCTTTGCCCTCCACGTGCGCCGCCCCTCCGGCCGCCCACAGGGGATTTTGAATATTGGAGTGGCTGTCCTTGACAGCTCCATGCGGAGCATGCCATTGTATACTCAGCTCAGCGCCTCAGCCGTTGGATATCGTGATTTGATGGGTGAAGAGAACCTAACCAATAATCAAAGTAATGATAATCAAAGTAACAATACAAGTAGTAATCCACCAGTTGTGAAACCTGTATTACGCCGGTCTCGAAGCGAACGTAGTGACCGTGTGATCTCGAGTGACATTTCATCAACAACCAGTGGGTCATCGTTGAGGACTCCAAAAAAGAAAGGGACCCCAAAGAAAGGTGGGTCCAACATTAGTGGGAGCGGGTCGTCTGATTCCGGAGCCCCATCCAAAGGAAAGAGTAAAAAGGGTAAGGCAAGTTCGCTAATCAGTGGCGGGTCGAGTCGATCTAGTCAGAAGGGAAAGAAAGGAAAGGCAAGTTCGTTACTCAGCGCTTCAGAACTCAAAAACCAAGTTATAGAGATGGTAAAAAATGATGAGAAGCGTGGTGGGTTCATAAACAACGACCCGAAAAGCAAAGACCCGTCAAAAGATAAGGTGGGCAATGAAAAACCCGGTTCGGAACTCAGCGGGTCGATAGTGAATAAGCCTGTCGCCGGGAAACACATGAGATCTCCGCGGAGAGAGATGCTGCCACCGCCGCCGCCGCCGGCGGCGTTGACCGGAAAACCCGGTTCGAAGCTTAATGGGTTCGAGATGAAAAACGGAAAATTTGTGTTTGGTGGCCCCGGGAAGCCGAATTCGCTTCTGTCGGACTCAGAGGTGGGTCCGTCGCCGTCGGAGGTGGCGGCGTTGAAGGCAATGGAGAGATACACGTTTAACGAGAACCAGAGCTCTGTATTGGACGGGTGGAGCTTGGACGAGAGCGTGGAAGGGCTGCGGTCCAAGCTGGAGCGTTGGCGGACAGAGTTTCCGCCGCTCTACGACAGAGGCTTCTCCGCCAGTTTCCGGTCGACAAGTCAACATTTCCGGCGACAAAGTGAAGGTGGAAGTGGTTTGTTTTCATGCTTTGGCAACATATATGGGTACGAGTGTCAATGCATTTGTGGTAAGCCCCAAGATGGGAAGAAAAGTCTTAGTAGTGGTCGGTTCCAAAGCCCATCGCATAGTGAGAACCGCTCCTTTTAGACACGACCCGTTAACCCGACCCGATTCATATACTATTGGATAACACTAACGTGCACCGAGTGAGTAGAGTGGCCAATGAGAGTAATACGTAGAAGGAAAATGATTAATACACTGAAAAGTTTAATTGGTTCGATTTTTATATCATGACTCCACGTAGATATTTATGTGACTCCTCACTTTTTATTCGAAAGTGCTTATTGGGAAATGTCACATTTAGGAGTTTGTGTGATGAGGCTAATGTGAGCTAGGGGGTTAGAGAGAGGGCTGCAATGCACTGTGGTGATGAAGTTTAGGGGTGGTTTTGCTATTGATTAGGCCATTCTTCCCTTGTTTGGTTTAATTTTTCTTTTCTGTTTTTAAATGTTTTATTTACTATTTACAACCACAATAATGGTATAAGAAAGTGTAAAAAATAGAAAAAGAGAGAGGAAGCCATCATATGGGTCTCCTAATAATTTTTAATTTTTTTTTTTTCATTTATGAAAATATTAATAATGTGGTGTATAGGAACTAGGGTTTTTGTATTGTATTGTACATGCATTTTTATATCTACCCATAGTGTGGGTATGGCATCTTGGCTGTTATCCTGAATTGTTATTATCATGTAATTATCATCAATAACAAAGGGGGTGATTTTTCATGGAGAATCACTAGTGTTAATAAATTGATCTCATGATATTATATATGAAGTTTTGTTAAGTCTTCTTTCCTCTAGTTATGAAATGGTCTATGCAGATTGAAAGAGGGTTCATAGATTATGATCTCACCAAGTTTTATATAAATTTAAAAGCAAATCTTCTTTATCCAGTTAAAAATCCACCCATCAAATTTAATTATGAAAAATATAATGTAAAGTTCCAAAGATGTATCATTGCACTTTTAATTATTTAAATCAAACAGTAATGATGTAAAAATTATGGATGGGTCATACTCTATTTCCTATGTGTTCTGACGGTAAGGATAGAAGAAAGGCATGTAGGTTGTGATTCAAATAGCTATTCTTAATGTGACCAAGGTTTGATTTGCTTTTCATTCTTAGTGAGGCGATTGATGCTGAAAAACGATCGAGGAAAGAGTCCATGGGGCAAACCATTGCAGATGGGTAGAAAAGAGGTTGAAAGTTACAGAAGATGGTCATGGAGGAGGTCCTCCTTTCTATCCTCGCTTAGGTCATCCATTCGGCTTCTTTCGCTAAGGGCCCTGAATCAAACATGGCTTGTATGGGCTTGGTTCATTCACCACATATCAGAACTGTTGGGGGCACAACGAAAGCAAAAGAAAGAAAGAAAAAATAATTCAAATCACAACACAAGATATATACGTGGTTCACCCAAAATCAGGGTTACATCTATGGATGAGAAGAGATTTATTATATATGTAGAGATATTACAATAGTAGAGAATTTTAACACCGGACCATGCATACAAACTCTTGACCGAGTTTTCCGTGTATGCCACGAGACTCCCTCTCACCATCAGTGTTCACTCTACCAAACTCGTAACTCACCCCTGCCATCATCGTACTCCCTCATGAGACTACATCTCTCTCAACTCATAACTCTCAACAATAGCCTAAGTGTCTATTTATAGAGTCACAACAATAGCCTAAGTGTCTATTTATAGAGTCACATACCCAATTCCTTTGTGGACAAGAATTACAATTTCTTAAAGCCTAATTCACGTCTTTATAAGAAATTACCATAAAATTACACTCTAAAATAGAAACTAATAATGATGGGAATTTGAGATATAATTCCTAACAATCTCCACCTTGGCTCAAATTTCATTACATCAATCATCACTTTTTATGTCAATTGAATCAATTCTCTGCAACTTTAATCTTTGCGATCTTATTGCAGAACTTGGATTATCCCCTCACTATACGTTGCTCAATCAGTCAAACCCCAAGGCTCCACCTTGACTTCTCAAGCTCCATGTAATGTAATCAAGCCGATTAACTCCACCTACAACTGAAGCTCGTTGTAGCACATGTTGAGACTTCTTGTGTTTTCTGAATCTCTTTCACCTTTGGCTCTGATACCAGTTGTTGGGCACAGCGGAAGCAAAAGAAAGAAAGAAAATAATAACAATTCAAACCAGAACACAAGATATATACGTGGTTCACCCAAAATCAGGGTTACATCCACGGATGAGAAGATATTCACTATATATGTAGAAATATTACAATAGTAGATAATTTCAACACCGAACCATGTACACAAACTCTTGACTGAGTTCTACGTGTACTCCACGAGACTCCCTCTTATCATCAGTGTACACTCTACCAAACCCGTAACTCACCCTTACCATCAACGTATTCCCTCATGAGGCTACATCTCTCTTAACTCATAACTCTCAACAATAGCCTAAGTGTCTATTTATAGAGTCACATACCCAATTCCTTTATGGATAATGATTACAATTTCTTAGAGTTTAATTCACGTCTCTATAAGAAATTACCATAAAATTACACTCTAAAATAGAAACTAATAATAATGAGAATTTGAGACATAATTCCTAACAAGAACTAGATTCAATGGAGGAAGAAGAGACAAAGAATCAAACGAAACAGTACGTTCGACTTGCGTGTGTTATATAGCTAGTATCTGAGCTCAGATTCCTAACAAGAACTAGATTCAATGGAGGAAGAAGAGACAAAGAATCAAACGAAACAGTACGTTCGGCTTGCGTGTGTTATATAGCTAGTATCTGAGCTCAGATTTGACGTCAATTAAGAGCTTCTTTGGAATTCAATAGATTGAGAACTATATAAACAAATACATGCGCGCGATGTTGTGAGAAGTGCCAACCAAAGAGGAAGATGAAGTGGAAAGCTTTACAGAGAAAGGATTGAGCCAACCCATTGCCAACAAGTAGAGCTCAAAGAATTTAAAATTGAGATTTTTTAAAAATATATATATTTTTGGTCAAGTCTACCAGTGGTGGATTATAGGGCGCTAAGAGTCCTTATACCACCATTGTCAATATAATAATAATAATAATAATAATACTTTTGATTTAAATTATTCATGTCTATTGAATATGATCTCTCAACAATTCAGAATACGAAATGTCATTGTATTTTTGAAACTGGCCTATGTAGCTTAGGCTTATACCTATAGTAATATTGCCCAACTATCTAGAATACGAGAATGTCTTTTATGTAGCTTTCTCTTATACCTACCATATATGATATATATTGCCCAACTATTAAGAATACGGAATGTCTTTGTATCCCTGGAACTGGCCTATGTAGCTTCAGCTTACACCTACAATACTGCTCAACTATTTAGAATACGAAAATATCTTTGTATTCCTAGAACTGGTCTATGTAACTTCGGCTAACACCTACAATATTATATTGCCCTTAACACTATTATATTGCCCTTAACAAGACTCGAACGATCAAACTTCCATTTGGGAAAGAAGAAATTATACTATTTGAGCTAATGCCCCCATTGGTCATTTATTCTTAACCATTCAATTAATACATCATTCTCCTTCAACATTATAGCATACTATTACACCTCCAAAAACAAGGTCTTATTCTTCATCACCACTATGTTTTTTTATTCGGCTCCATCTGGTTGAAGTTCAAGCAGAACAGAGTAGAGAGTAACCATTATGCAGTCTTGATCAGTGGCCTACTGCAAAAACTCTCCCCGGTCCGTAACGAAACCTGTCAAAGCAGATATTTTCTGTAATGCAAGTTGAAGAGAAATAGATTCACTTTTCCCAGGCATCAAACCTAATATTTATATGAGTAACTATATATATTAATGCAATTTGAAAATATATAACAAAATGACATGAGGAGATTATGAACACAGAATTATATATATATATATATATATATATGATGAGAATGTATCTGCTCCCAAAACTTGCTTCCTTTTGACAGATGCAGGGTTTCTTTGTTGTTTTGTAAAGGGCTAATAGCTGATTATAACAAGGGTCATTTGTCATCCATCGGATTCAGATGAAAAAGTGATTGGGTTTAAATAGGTAGGTATCTAACACTACTCATTATCTTGAGCTTTTGAATAAATGGATAAGCGCTCATCCGTTGTACTAACTCATCCAGATCACTGGAAAAGATCTCAGTTAATTTATTTAAATCTCAGTTAATTTACCCATAATATATATATGTATATATATATATATATTGTATTCATCACATTTAATATAATACAAATTATGACAAGTGTTCAGAAACAAGAAGGATATGAACAAACTGTCACAGTGTCACATAATAAATTTGACAGTGTCACAGTATCACTAGTCATGTTGGTAGGATATGACTAGTGATTTTAGAACCTGAATTTCTAAAATACTCATTAATTTTGTGGCAGATTAATTGCAATGAAGCACTCACCGAACAATAAATAAATCAATAATTTCATTAAAGCACTAACCCGCTCACATAATGCTACAAAAAGTGGCAATTGTTACAGTAGCACCTCCAATAACAAACAATTTCTCAAATGCTGCAAGTGCTTCCTTCATTTTCGACTACAATCACAAAATCACACAAGCACAATCACTGTACAAATAAAGTATCAATTGGAATACAGTGGTATTAAATGATACTTTGCATTTCAATACAATTCAATAATATTTTTGTCATTTCAGATCAAAATATAAAGTTATTAAAGTCTTTTAACATAAAAATGACAACTTAATCATTTTTAAAATTTTATTAACAACAGGGTGTGTCGTTGAACACACGTGCATAATTTCAAGGGAAGTTAAAATAATAAAGGGCAAACATTCTACTTGTAACACTCTACCTGTATGTAACTTGTCCAAACCTCGAGGGAGATGGTGTAATTTACCCTAAATTCAATGCATATTTGACTTTTACTTTATTTTTTTTAAAAATTTTTTTTGAGTAAGGTAAACGAATTGTGTTGATTAAAAAAAAGATAAATGACATACAAAGACTCATGAGGTTTGCCTTCTTGAGAGACATAAACAAATTGACCCATTTTGTTAACAACGACAACCATTTAGGTTGTTAACAAAGACACATCAATGGTCTCCTACCATTTTCGACACATGGTGAATTAATATTATTGCCCTTTGACCTGTCTGTTCACCTATTTGAACCATGATTTTACCTTTTCAAACCTTTACAAGTTATTTTATTAGACCAAACTAACTTTCTTTATTCTTTGCTTCCTTCTTTATCAACCAAACTATATATATATATATAGAGAGAGAGAGAGAGAGAGAGAGAGAGACTATATATACAACATATACGGATTACATACCATTCCTACCAACTATATATATATATATAAGGATGAAATATTTAAAGATGTAAATAAACTCATTTACAAATTAGTTTAATCTCAACCTCTCTATAATAGTAATTGTAAGAGACACACAAAGCCTTACTAATTTGACATTATTAAAAGGGTTGAACTTAGTTTCTTCCATTTCTTACGAAGTCATAACTAAAAAAGACAATTACATATGCATGGAAATTTCTTACTATAAGCTTTATATTTATTCCCAACATTTTATTGGATTCCAACCTTATTAGCATTTTATCAACAAATAACATGATTTATTGTTCTAATTGTTAGCATGATAAATACAATGACATCATTGGAAAGGAGAAAGAACTTAATAAATAGCAAAATACATATTAATTCGAAAGAATTGGAAAATAACAATTTGAGTACTAGTGATTGTGCACCAATTATTTATTAAATTTTTAAAAAATCATTGACAAGATGCTTATTCAAGGGTATATATATACAATATTTATAATACTTGAACTTGTTAAAATGGTATTATTTGCGTTACATATTATTTAACTGATATTAACATAAATTTTATAATAATCATGCTTGCATATATTAATTAAATCTTAACTAGGGTAAGTTTTTTTTACACATATATATATATATATATATATATATATATATATATATATATATATATATATATATATATATATATATTGCATACTCAATGATTTTACTTTTAATATTTTGTCGTAGTATTAGTTAGCCGACAAACATGTGTACATCAATTATATCACTACCTAGAATTAGATAGTATCATTCCTTTGGCAATATGGTCCTTTATATTATTTATTATTCTTTTATTAATTTTTTTTTTTTAAATGAGGGAAATTTAGACATTTCATAGTATTTTTATGTGCAAAAACTGACATGGGATCCTTTGAGTTTATGGTTATAAAAAAACTTTAAATTAGTGTAATCACTCACAAATCACACATATAAATGAGGAGTATTGAACGCAGTCGTGCAAGCGATTGTTCATTCGCAATCGTGCAAGCGATTGTTCATTCACAGTCGCATATATGATTGGTTCAAAAATAAATTGTGATTAATGTCTCTTTCTTATTTTTTTGAAATTATAAAACTTCAACTTTGAGACCAAATTACCCTTTGAAATTATTTATATGGCTACACTTGTCTTTATATATATATATCTATATTCCACCTTGATGGATTTTTTACTAGCTTTTATGTAATTTAATTGAAATAACAGAATGAGATGGAGTTTTAATTGAAGTAATATTATAAAATTTGAGTTTTAGTTAATATATGAAATAAGAAAAGTATGGTTTCACAATCTATTCATAGTATGGTTAACTACTATATATATATATATAGATCGAAAATGAAAGAATTGAAAAAAAACAAAAAAGGAAAGAAGCAATCATTTCACATAAATTTTTTTTTTTCTCTCTCTTTAAGAGGGAGAAACAGTGAGAAACCCATTCACACGGTGAGTGTATATATATATATATATATATATATAGTTAAAAACAATTGACAAAGAGAGAGAGAAAAAATAATAAGGTAGGTAAGCAAAGAAGAATGAAGGATATATATACACACACATGTACAAGCAGGATAGAAAAGAAAGAAATATAAAATGATAATATTCACACGTATAAATTAAACAGAAATGCTTATTAATCTTATCAATGGAGCATGCATATATCTAAAAATAATAATTCCCCCCCCCCCCCCCCCCCCCCAATATCGACCAAATGTCAATATTCCCCATCCCCTAATGCATGTCCAAAACTTAAATATATCATTTAATAATAATTTTCAACTATTACAATATTATCCTAGTGATAAAAGGATCTGGCCTTAATTGTCCCCACCTCATTCTCGTATGTTTCGATCCCTTCCCCTCTCTCCCCCTAATTGCTAACTCTCTAATCATTGCGAAGTCCAAAATTTAATATAATAATATACTAAACTGTTAAGAAAATAGTAACAAAGATTGAATTGTTATATAAAACACTATAATAATTGAGATATAATAAACTCCATATGCATTGTCTAGTTTAATGGTAAATGCGGAGCCCAGTAGTGTGGGCTTGTGTTCTAGCAGATTATTAAAGTAATTGGATGTCGAATGTTGAACACCCAACACACCATGGATTTACAAAATGGGTCATGACGCATCAATCCACTCGTTTTAAAATGAATATTGGTAAACCATTTTAAAATATGGGTCAAAATGAGTGACTCATATTCAACTCATTTTGACCCATATTTCAAATGGGTCGAATATGGATCACTTATTTTGACCCATATTTCACCCATTATATTAGACCCAGTTTCATAACTTCTATTTGACTCAAATTCATCCATTTCTTTTTAAAATTCTCTCACACGATCTCAAATTCCCTCTCTCTGTCTCTCCCACCATCTCTCTCTAAAATTCTCTTTCTAAGATTCTCTCTGTATTATGGATTCCTCGTGTATGTATACTACGACTCGAAAAAAATCTATGTTTACATCTGTATTTCAAAGTAGGACGACCTGATTTATTCATTTAATTATTTATTCTATAAAAAACTTAACAAATGATTTCATAAAATATTTATATATATATCTCACCTTCATGCATGTCTGGTCACAAAATAAAATAATAAAAAATTAAAGAACTTTTAAAATAAATTAGAGGATTTACAATTATCTATACATATTTTTACAAACTTTTATCCATCTAAAATAAAAAACTATAATAATGAGATTATCCAAGATAATAAATTTTTTTTTTCCCTCCCTAAAACGGGTTGATTCGGCCTATTTTAACTCAATCCATATTTAACCCGTTACAAGCAGGTTGAATATGAATCACAATCCATATTTGACCCTACCCAAACTCGACCCAACCCGTTTGTTTGCTACCCTTAGGCAACAGCAATAAACTCTCATGATTGTTAAAAAAAAAGAAAAAAAGAAAAAAAAAGGGTTTAATTGTAAATTCTAGTCCATGTAACTAAGTCTTAGTTTCTAATATTATAAGGTAGAACCACAAACTGTTTGATAGATTTACATAAAATACGGGTTGTGTAATACATCAACCGGCATTTAGGTTAATGGTATAATTTTTTTATCATCAAAGAAGATGGGTAAGGGTTTGAGTCCGGATATGGGAAGTATAGATTGGTGTTTCTTGCCATGAAATTTTTTTTTTTGTTAATAAATTTTTAAGGGATCATGTTAACCACGTATTGTCTCATTAAAAAATTACTAACTTGTCTTTTTAAGTTTTAAAAATTCAAATTTAAAATTTTAAACTCCAAACATATATAAAATATATTATTTTAAAAAAAAAGAATTATTATTTTGAGAGAACTCAAAAAGTCTATTTTGTGATTGTTTTGACTTTTTAACATTCCGCCCTCGTCAACCATGGTTCAGTACAAACTATGGTTGGAAAATAGACTTTTTCACCCACCATGTGGCTGGCGGTAATGGACACCAACTTCTGTAAGATAATGGTGGTAATAATATTTCAAGTTTATAAATAAATAAATATACATTTTAAATTATACATAATGAAGGTAAATAAAATAAAATAAAACAAAACAAAATGCAAAAAAAAAAAAATAAATAATAATAAAATAAAACATATTTATATCAAACATAATGTATGTATCTATCTTTAATACATACGGAGTGTATATATATATGGAGAGGTGGAAGACATATAACGCTTAAGTGGTAATAAATAAAGAGAAGACAAAATATATATTTTTTATTAAGATTCTGTTAAAATATTTTTTAATTTTTTTTTGATAATTGATTATCGTAAAATAATTAGGAAGAAAACAAATATTAAAATTAAACAAAAGTAATTTTTTCATAAGTTTTTGACAAATTATTTTAAGTGCTCAACCAAATGAACTTGACCTCAATCTCCAATTAGACTTTTTTTTGTCAAATATTAAAAAAAAAGATATATATTTTACCTTAAAAAAAAAAAAAAATTTACACAGTAACTCACTTTTGGTTTTTTAGATGCGATTCATTTTTGAAGTTTTAAGTAACATTAGTACCTTATACTCTCGTAACTCATATAATCAAACATCAAAAATATTTTTGTCATATAAATCAAGGAAAAAAAATTGAGTGTATTTAAAAAGAGGAAGTACAATAATACATATATATATATATATATTTACACGCGCGCGCACACATGAAGAAAATTACCGTTTTAGTTGGAGGTGGAGGGCGAACGAGTTGGGCGTCTGACTGCATCAACAAATTGTTTTTTTTTTATTAGAGAATTTGTTTTTAACTTTGTAAAAATCAAATAAATTAATAAAGTCTATGTCAACTATACTAATTCACTTACCTCTCCGGACGTTATCCGGGCCGGTGCCGGTGCTGAAAAGGAAGGTTTCTTGGACTGCAGTAGTTGTCTAAGAAGTTAGGATGTTGGGATGCATTGTACTTCTTATCGCGGTAACAATTGCAGCAGAGGTCATAATTGTCTCCGGGTCGGTCGAAGCATTCGACACAAGTGAAGAACAGTCCCGTGATGAAAACTCCACACTTTTGACAGATGACCATCCTGCCGCTCTTAAACAAGTAGTAAAAGGTGAGAACTTCCTCGAAATCAAGAACGCCATCGCGGTTGTAGTCGAGATTTTCGTAGAAGCTGGGCCGTATACAAGGTCGACCATAGCCTTCCTCTCTCATGAACGCCATGTACTCTTGGATGCTTACAGTTTTATCTCCATCTGCGTCTAGTGTTTCGTAAAATTTCCAAGCAAGTTCCTGCAGCTGCGGCGACAAGTTCGCATAATATGCTAATGCCGCCGCCCGCATCTCCTTCATCTCACTATATAACCCCTCCATCTCACTATATAATTATGTGTGTGTATTGTGTGTGTCTCAGTTTGCATAGATAGTAGTAGTATTTCTGTAGTGTTATTTATAAGGCAGGGTGGTTTGGGTTAAACTCCAAAAGAGGGGATGACAACATAATTTGACTCGTTCAAGGTTATATAATCTCTCTCTCTATTTAGAATAATCAAAGAAATTTAATTTCCTAAATGATCGATCGACATTATTCCAATAATTTAGGAACTACCAGACTTTCTAAGAGACGGTTGAGGTTCAGTAGGGGCATATTTGAAAATGGAACCATTACAAATGGGAACAAATGAGGACGTTTCAGGAGTTTTTTAATTGGAAAATTACATATAAGGGTTTGAACAAATTATAACGTATATGTAAATCATTAGCGTTTGTTACTTCAGTGGTTCATGGTTGGAAAGTGACTTTAAATGTGAAAAAAAAGTAATACCCTCGTATTTATTAATTTATTATATTGTATTTTATACTTAAATAGTGCCCTCTTCAAATTTTCAAATTCTTCTAATTTTCTTTTGAAAAAAAATAAAAAAGTTACATATATCCCTTCTTCAAGTATACACTATATTTTTCCTTTTCTTATTTTTGTTTCCTTTTTCAAATTTTTTGTTTCCCACTTATGTATAATTATGTATTTTTTTAAACTTACTTATTTTTATTGATGACATTTGTAATTCTATTTAATTAAAATATTATTAATTAATATTTTGATTCTTATATCTGTAACTATATATTTTTTTTACACCATATTATTTTACAACTATTTTTTTCTTATTTGCCTTTTTGATTTAAAAAAATTATACTTTCTATTTGTCATATATATATATATATATATATATATATATATATTTATTATTATTTTTTAACAATTGCATTGTGCCCCCTCTGAAACAAAATTCTGGCTCCGCCCCGGTTGGAAAGTGACTTTAAACGTGAAAAGAAAGTAATACCCTTGTATTTATTAATATATTATATTGTATTTTATACTTAAAGAAGGATAAAATTGTCATTTTATAAAATTTAGTCATGTCGAAAAGAACTAATTGGCTAGTAACCTAGTGATATCAGATGCTCTAAGAGGCCTAATACCATTATCGTCAAAAAACAAAAAAATAAAATAAAAAATAATACTTTTGATTTCAATTATTTATTGGTTCTATTGAATATGATCTTTCAACAATTCAGTATACGGAACGTCTTTGTATTCGTGGAACTGGCCTATGTAGCTTCGGCTTATACCTAAAATATTTCCCAACTATTCAGAATAAGAGAATGTCTTTGTATTTCTGGAACTGGCCTATGTAGCTTCGGCTTACACCTACAATATATAATATATATTGCCTAATTATTTAGAATACGGGAATGTCTTTGTATTCCTGGACTGAGCTATGTAACTTCGGCTAACACCTACAATATTGCCCAACTATTCAAAATATGTGAATATCTTTGTATTCCTGGAACTGGTCTATGTAACTTCGGCTTACACCTACAATATTGCCCTTAACAAGACTCGAACAATCAAACTTCCATTTGGCAAAAAAAAAATATGCTATTTGAGCTAATGCCCCCATTGGTCATTTATTCATAACAATTCAATTAATAGATTAGCAGTCTCCTTTCAACATTCTAGCATACAATTACTCCTCCAAAAACAAGGTCTTAATTTCATTACCACTATACCCAGCCTCGAGATTCACTCGACAACCATGCCATACAATTAACTCACTGAGAGTCAAAACACTCATAACATACCTCCGTAGGTTTTTAAAATGGAAATCACCTCTCAACTAACCAGTCTCTAAAACATACTTTTACAAGACCACTAAACGAGTCGCATCAACTAATCGGTCACCCGGCGCGCACCGGCATAACCCCATTCAACACTTAGGTCAATTTATACATACAAGTTCCAAACAAGTTTTCCTACCAACTATAACCAACACGTCTCATGAGACCGTACTAAAGTACCCGAAACATATATCCATAACCTCTAGACCATACTCGTGATTCCACCAACCTCTATCACACCTATCACAAACCAATTCGAAGAGAACCGCCACACCAAAACGTGATCTAAATCACAAATACTGAATTCTTAAAATCACATGTCCCTTTCAAAGATTTCATAACATACACGACCTCCACGGTCACAAGACCCTATACACTAACACATGAAGCTTATACACATTACCTTGGACATCGTACCATGCGATATGCAATCATTCTAAGGTTGTGCCCCAAACACCACACTCTGAAAACAATGAGAAGATTGGAATATCCACGCACCAAATAGCTCAATTCATGAGTTAGAGATCCACGCCATCCGTTCGATAAGAACTAACACCCAATCAAACCTTGGAGCAACCGAACTCCTCGCCTACTCAGGTCATAGCCCACATGGCAACTACATCGTATAGGTACCCTGCCATACTAGTGACTATCCCATGCTCAACCGCATATGTGTATATATATATATATATACACACATATATAATGACCATAATCCACACTTTGATACAATAGTGTCCCTTCGTTTAAAATTTAACATCATGCTTTCATTCTAGTCACCATCCTTTCATATATAAAAATATACTTGCATAAACCATGCATAAATACCAGTCACATTACTATTTAAAACATAATTTCACAAACCGTGCTCATTACTTGCCAATGCCATGCCCAAAAAAGACCCTTAGGTGAAATTTACTAATTAATTTCATGCGCCGATAAATTTGCACTGCAAAATACTCCAGACTAGAGATGGTTCAACTCAAGTTCATTATTGAGTTTATCAAAAGAGCAAATATATTGTTGGGTACTCCCACTGTGAATGTGTTTTATCCCTCTTTAGATTAAAAACATTCCCTTTTAACAAATGAATTGGCTCTTTAGCGAGGTGGTGTTATAAGTCGATTAATTTAATTGAGGTCTGTTGTGCAATATCACTGGATACTTTGACACGTCTTAATCCTCCTAATCAGTGCTATATATATATATTTTGAGAATGAAGAAGGGAAAAGTTTCAAAATAAATGAGAAGCATTAATACCTAGAGGGCAAGAGTACTGTAGATTTTTTCCTTGTAATGACCATTTCCGGTGCGAGACGATACTTTTGTGCTCTGCTTGACCTAAGTTGTGTCAAGGCTTTTTGTTGTTTATGGCCTTGAGAAAAAGCAAAAAGGCCAATTGATGGGTGCTTTCAGTGTGAACATCTGAACAAGACTCGAGAGCCTCGTTGCCAGAAAGGTCTCAATAACCAGTTATACTTTTAAGCTCGATTTCACCTTAGTTGATTAGTAAATACATTTATTTCAATGCACGTGGATCTGGTGTTGGGTTAACGCGGTTTGAACCAATTGATTCATCTGAATAATTGTCTTGTTTTTATCATAGATTTGGAGGAAGTCACACAAGTTTGTCGTTGCATGGCCGCTTCCTCAAAATTTCCTCATCACCAAGACCCCACAACATTGTCACGTTCATTTATTTATGGACACCACTGTAACATCGATTATGAAGGCATGTTGACTTAGAAGAGGTCGTCTTTGAGACACGGAATGATGCATTTTGGAAGCTTTTAGGATGCAGTGGGGGTGATTTTGTAATTAGAATTTTTTTTCTTTTGAAAAAATGAGATTTAATGCAATTTTTAATATATTATGAATTAATTAGAAATATAATATAAATTTTCAAATTAGTGATTTTATTGATGATTGTATGGAAAAAAATGAGTAAAAATTAATATTATATATATAATAATAATATTTTATATTAATATTTTTTGACATATTTGTATCTTACTTTTTTGAAATTTGTCATATCGTTTGTATTGTATTGTACTCATATCCCGTATTTGTATCAGTGCCTCCTTGTACAAGTTAAACTGATTTTGAATATGGAAGCTTTACTCTATTTGTATTCCTTTTCTTTCCAAAAATCAATCAAATGTATAGATAAGTTATATGTACAGGGGTTTGGGCCTAAAAGAGTTAGGCCCAATGAAAACAGGACTCATTACAAATCTTACAGAGATTATTCAAGCCCAAGCCAGTTCAAACAAGGGCCTAAGTATCCAATTGACAATCTTTTCCAAATAGCCCATACTTTGTTTACAAAGCTTATTATGCATAAAGTAATATTTGCAACACAAGCCTTAAGCCCAAGACAATGGACAGGCCCAAAGCCCAGGTAAAAGCAACCCCAAAGGAGGATTAGTCTGATTAGAAGAATTATGTTTTTGGACTTTTGTCACGACATGGTTAGTGGCAAAATAAGTATGAAATCTTAAAATAATGGTATATACGATATAAAAATTTACAATAATGACAGTAATTTTATTTTCTAATTCATTTGAGAACTCGTATTCTATTTTTTAAAAATTTTAATGTATCGACGTATTCGTGTTCATGTCTGTGCTACATAGAAACTAGCAAATCAACTGTCAGGTACTTTCAAGATAAAATATCATAAAATTTAATTCATGATGGTTATTTTTTTTCATAATTTTTTTAAGGAAAAGAAAAGAAATTGAGAAACTTGGAAGAGATGCAAAGTTTAATGAAACTTTTGTAAGACCATTATTATTATTATTATTTTTACTTCATTAATCAACTAAACTTGATAATAGGTTAATAATATTCTTTCCTATCTTTTTTTTTTTTTTCCTCTCTCTCTCTCTCTCTTGTAACTGTTACATTTTTTTTCCCACCCACCGTACCAAACATATCATAATGGTACGTAGTTGAGTCAAACATATTTATGGGAAAATTATATCTAATTCCTACTTTGTTCTATGAAAAACAAATAAATTAACGGTTGATGTGCACCATTAATAAATGAACATGTCATCTTTAATTACCAAATTCATGATAGAAGATAATCACTTACCAAATCAGAGATGGTGATTTGATCATCATATCTGATTTGGTAATTAAATAAAATGTGTCAATTTATTATTGGTACATATCAGCGATCCGTATGATATAGGTCCTCAATAGTAAGGACCTAAGTATTGTCCATATGGGTTAATTAATTTTAGAAAAGGAAATACTTCTAAATTTTTTGGCATTGATAAGAAAGAGTC